CTCATTCTCCACGAGTTGCTGTCTGTCTGTGGAAAGGCACGGAAGTCAGAAGCTCACCAGTGTCATGGAGAGTGTGCAGCCCATGACATCGTGGAACAGGTCATGTGCAGCCAGGCCAGAGATGACGAAAAATTCACAGATGAAAGGATATTCACGGCAAGAATTGTTGAGGAGGGCATAGTGCTGGCTGCAGAAGAGCGCTTCAAACGGATACTACCGAGACAGAGAGACATGGGTGGGTCTCACACTGACCCCGTGGATATGGAGACTCAGCACAGCTTAGTAATGAGAGCTCACAATACCACACACCCAAGCTCCAGGCAGGGAAGAGCACCCTGAACAGACACCGAAGAGGGGGCACAGGTCACAGAGAAGCCCTGCCCACTGGCTGCTGCCCCACATCCACTTCAGCTGTTGCCTCCCGACAGCCATGCCCCCAGCCTCTGCACACCTCTAAGTCCGCTCCTAACCTCCTGCATCACAGCAGGCCAGGGACCCCCAAACTCACACTTAGGGAACTGATCCCTGGCCACGGAGGGGTAGCCTCGACATACCCTCTGCTCTCCACGCTGGGCAGTATGGGGCACCAGAATAGGGGCCTTGAGCTCTGCCGGTGAGATGACAGCACCACGGGTGCCCAGGGTAAAGATGGTGTTCCTGCTTCGGAGAGATGGCTTTGAGAAGAATCGTGAACATCATCGGAGTCAGGGAAAACAATGAGACCGGCCGCACCAGTCACAACAACCCAAGGCCTGAGGATCCCAGGAAGCTAAATATGAGCCGGACAGCCCTTTCCAGACCAGAGCCTTGCTTCTCCTGACACCCGTAATGGCCGTCAAGGTTTTACAAACCCTCTGAAATAAATATGAAAAACTGTCAGAATGGTGTATGCTTCTTGGAGAGGAAGCTCTCGCTTTCAGGAACTCACAGATCAAGAACAACAGAATGTGTGAGAAACACAGCCCTGGGCTGGAGAGATGGCTCAGCAGTTAAGAGCACTGACTGTTCTTTCAGACGTCCTGAGTTCAATTCCCAGCTCACAACTCTCCACAACTCCAGTTCCAGAGAGTCCAACACCCTCACACGGACATCCATGTAGGCAAACACCAATGCAAATGAAATAAAAATAATTAAAAAATATATTATTGGGCTGGAGAGATGGCTCGGCTGTTAAGAGCACTGACTGCTCTTCCAGAGATTCTGAGTTCAATTCCCAGCAACCACATGGTGGCTCACAAACATCTATAATGGAATCCAATGCTCTCTTCTGATATGTCTAAAGACAGCCACAGTGTACTCACATAACATAAAATAAATAATTAAAAAATATATTTATTTAGTACCACATAGTAAGTTATGAGGTGTCTGAGAGACTGCATGCCTCCATGGAAGCAAGAGCTAACAATGCCCATGGGCTTTTATTCTTTTCACATACATGCTTTCATTACACACTCGAAGGCTGGACAGACCTGCTCACTTCAGCTCCCTGCCAGTTAAACAGAACCCCCTTCTGGCGGAAGCCTGTTTCAAATCTGGCGAATGTTTACAAGGAAAGTATGCAGTTGCAGTCAGCAACTGAGCATTATCCACAAGAATTGGATCTCAGATACAAGCTTGCTGACAGTGGCTTTATCCTGGGTGCTGCCCTGAGAGCATCCAGTGACGTGTGTGTGTGTGTGTGTGTGTGTGTGTGTGTGTCTTGTGCTCTTGTCTCTGCTCTTCGGAATGGTCCTGAGCTGTCTTGTGCTCACAATGACCTCCGGAACATGCTCAGAGCCCCAGGCCACTGGCAAGAATCTAAGTCAAGTTATTTGACAGCATCTAAGATGCAAGCAAGCTTTGCAGGAGTTTGTCTTCATGGCAGCTGGATTTTCAATTCTCTGCCAATATATATATATATATATTTTTTTTCAAGGTTCTGTGTAGCTCCAGGTGTCCTGAAACTGCCTATGTAGACCCAGGTGACCTAGAAGTCCAACGATCTGCTGCCTCTGTCCCCACCCGACTATAGTGCTCGTATTAAAGGCATGGACACCACGCAAAAATTTTAATAACACCTCCACTGGCTTTAATGATAAATTCCTTAAAAGTTGTCATTGCTGACCTAGAATTTTCCAAATGACTTGTAACAATTTCAGAGGTGTCATGAAAGAGGTTTGCTTTTTGACAGCGGTGTGGTTCCCTGTCTTCCTTGGCTTGTTCAAATCACGTGGGTGTACTCACAGTACCAAGTTCCACAGGCCAGGAGAGAGCCGCCTGCAGGCCATCTGTGGAACTGCAACCACATATCCTGATCAGTAATTGCATCCTACCCGGAGCTGTGAGGGTAACAACAGCAGTGAATCAGGGAAGCGTGGTCAACTCGCGTCTAAAGCACCATCTTCCCAGAGCTTGCAGCTTTTTTGGATAGCAGAGAAACTGAGACATCCCCCAGGAGGTTAGGGGGGAAGGCTGGACTCAGGATGTAAACTAGCACATTTCTGAGAAAGTGAAACTGGCCCGATCCACAAGCATCCTCCAGAGACTCTGGAGGACTCTGAGCAGCCCAGCGGCCCAGAGGAGGTTCTCAGAGTTCCCCGGTCCCAGCTGTCATGAGTCTTGACCCGGGTTGTGTGAGCTGCCTTTGAGTCACCCTCTACTCCTGTAAGTAACTGTCTTAGGGTTTTACTGCTGTGAACAGACACCATGACCAAGGAAACTCTTACAAGGACAACATTTAATTGGGGCTGGCTTACAGGTTCAGATGTTCAGTCCATTATCATCAAGGTGGGAGCATGGCAGCATCCAGGCAGGCCCTGGAGAGAGTCCTACATCTTCATCTGAAGGTTCCTAGGAGAAGACCTAGTGTGGTTAGGAGGAGGGTCTCAAGGGAGCTGTTCCAATCAGCCCTACTTTTGCTGACGGTTACTCTGATGTGGAAACACTCTAAAGGAGGTGCAGGATGCTCAGGGAACCTTACTGCACCACACCGGTGCCATCGAGACTCACCCTACATCTGCAGATGCACAGAAATCCCCCTCCACTTACAAGGATCCAGAGAACACTCCAGAAACAGTAGCTCTACTACTTTAAACTTAAGCCTGGCTTTCCTGGTGCTTAGTGTAACCTGGCTTGTTGCCTGCAGACTGTGCAACTGGACAGACTATGATGAATGAATGAAGATGCCAGCCATCATGTGGCAGACCCTCTGCATCCATTCATACATATGCTCCACCCTCTTTCTCAAGGTGTACTGGCTGGTTTGTGTCAACTTGACACAAGCTGGAGTTATCACAGAGAAAGGAGCCTCCCTTGAGGAAATGCCTCCATGAGATCCAGCTGTAAGGCATTTTCTTGATCACAATTAGTGATCAAGCACGGGGGGAGGGGTAATGTGGGTGGTGCCATCCCTGGGCTGGTAGTCCTGGCTTTCTATAGGAAAGCAAGCTGAGCAAGCCAGGGGAAGCAAACCAGTAAGTAACACCCCTCCATGGCCTCTGCATCAGCTCCTGCCTCCAGGTTCCTGCCCTGTGTGAGTTCCAGTCTTGACTTCCTTTGGTGATGAACAGCAATGTGGAAGTATAAGCTGAATGAACCATTTCCTCCCCAACTTGCTTCTTGGTCATGATGTTTGTGCAGAAATAGAAACCCTGACTCAGACAAACCTAGTCAGGGAATGAGCCAAAGCTTATGGCCTAGGCATTTATTAATGAATAACTAGTCCCAGCATCATCATTCCAGGAACAGATCTGGAAAAGGAAACTCATCACGGGGCCCTTCTAAAGCCTATGGACATGTTTGCTTGCCTTTGAAAGTTAAGAGATGACTTTGAAGGTCTAGAGATGGCGCCTCAGCAAAAGCCAGCTGCATCTGGGAAGGACTTCCCACTCCAATCCATGGGCCTGATGCCAGGGAAAAGGGGGTGAAAAAACGCCACTAATCCCTGAACAGGAAAACCCAGAAATCCCTGAGCTACCCCAAACTGAGGACCTGAAATCCCATCAATTCTCAGTCTGGAAATCTCTGCCATCAGCTCTGCCCCCTCAGAAATCCTACATAAGCCCCACCCTTTGTCCAGTTCCCTGCTGCCCACCTGGGAGCAAAGGCCACGATCTCTGGTTTCATCCCTCCACATCCTAAATCCTCCAATAAATCTCTTTCATGAGATTGGCTGCCTGGTGTGACTTTCTCTCTCTCTCTAATCAGAAGAAGCCAAAAGAAAGCAGCAATGAAGAGAAGGGAAGAGAAGGAGCTGGGCTGAGGCTCCTGAGATCCTCACCTCAGCTGGGGAGACCCACCCCTGGGAGCTGCAATGCCTCTGTTGAGGAGGCTTCCCCTCAGAGCTGTGTGGTTCCTGGTCCCCTATGTCTCAGGATGCCTTTCCACTGGGACCCCGTCTCATCTCAGAGCTGTGTAGTTCTTGGACTTCCAAGTCCCAAGATCCCCTTCCAGCTGAGCAGAAATGCTTACATCTACAGCACCTCCCCCAAAGCATCAGCCAGAGCAGCTCTGTAATCTCAGAAACACTGGGAACAGCTCTGGGAAAGGAAAAATGGACATAATATATTTAAGTTGTCATGTGTATCCCACTTCTTCCCATGATGAAATGAGACCACTGCCTCACACCAATTGTTCAGCCAGTGTAATTTCTCCACAGGAATTTAGTAAGCCTTACTCTCTGCTGGCTGCTTTAAGCAGGTCTGTTTATGTACACTCCAGACCTGGGACTATTTAAACCCCTATGTGCCTTCTCAGTACCTAAAGTCAATACCTCAGGACCAGCTGATAGGGTTGAGTGGAGGGAACTCCTGCAACTATGGCTAACAGTCCCACCATTTGTTAAGAAGCTGTAGCTGGTGCATTAAAACTCCCTTCTAACTCAGGCCTCTGTATATTTCATTACTTGGATGACCTGTTAATATGACAAGCTAAAAGGCAAAATCAAAACCTATCCTCAGATAATCTTAAACAACAAGCCATAAAAGCCCTAACAGAAAGAGGCTTTCTATTATTGAAAGTTAAGATTCAACTTGTTCTGGCTGGAGAGATGGCTCAGCAGTTCTGAGCACTGACTGCTCTTTCAGAGGTTCTGACTTCAATTCCCAGCAACCATATGGAGGCTAAAAACCCATATGTCGTGAGATCCAAAACTCTATTCTGGTGTCTCTCAAGAGAGCTACAGTGTACTCATATACATAAAATAGAATAAACCTTTAAAAATGAAAGATTGAACTTATTTGACCCCTCACATTCCTAGAGAGAGAAATCAGCATACCCTCAGTCTGGCCAGCTACACCTGTCTGTGACTTCCCCAATGCATTAACCCTAAATACCCTTCAAAGCTTCCTAGGCAATATTAATTGGTTTAGGTCTTGGCTCACCATACCAACCAGGCAATCACAGCCTCTATTTGATTTACCTAAGGGTGTCAAGGACCCCCTTCTCTCCTCTCTCCCTGACAGCAGCAGCCAGAGGGACCCTTTGTTCTATTAAACCCTACGTTAGAAACACCTGGCATGTTATGATCCACAAAACCCAATCCAGGTCTTTACATTCAGTTCTTCCCCCACAGTGGTTGGAGCCTTACATCAACCTCAGGGGATCCTAGAATGGCTCCATGCTCCAACAGGGGTAGTGCCTCCACTACTAACCGTGGTTGAAACTTTATCCACTATAAGGACAGGAAGGGAGCGTACCTTAAAAATTATAGGTAAAGAACCTAGTGTAGAAAGGCTGAGACTCGTGGAGCCGGGGATGCAGCAGGTTGCCGGAGTCGCATCACCAGTACGCAGGGATGAAGCCAGGTTTCAGCCCCCGTGGGGGCGGCTTTGGCGGCAGAGGTGGCTTTGGTGACAGAGGAGGTAGAGGAGGAGGCCGAGGAGGCCGAGGAGGCTTTGGCGGTGGAGGTCGATGTCAAGGTGGAGGAGGTGGCGGCTTCAGGGGACGAGGAGGTGGAGGTGGACGAGGTGGAGGCTTCCAGTCTGGGGGCGGCCGTGGTCGAGGTGGTGGCCGGGGAGGCAAGAGAGGAAACCAGTCAGGGAAGAATGTGATGGTGGAGCCGCATCGACACGAAGGTGTCTTTATCTGTCGCGGAAAGGAGGATGCCCTTGTCACAAAGAACCTGGTCCCTGGAGAATCTGTGTATGGAGAAAAGAGAGTCTCGATTTCAGAAGGAGATGACAAAATTGAGTACTGAGCCTGGAACCCCTTCCGCTCCAAGCTGGCAGCAGCAATCCTGGGCGGTGTAGACCAGATCCACATCAAGCCGGGGGCCAAGGTGCTCTACCT